TCTTTTCAATTTGTTGGAGGGGAGACTTTATTCACATGCATCATCCACACCTTAAAAAAGGTCGAATTAGACCTTTATTTCAAGCCGCTCTTCTTACCTTTGCGATACCGTTTCGTGTAAATTTCGCAGCTGCATTTCGGTTAACCTGTATGACTAATTTTTGACACTCATCTGAGGAGGAAAATTTGGACACGAATGCTTACTAGCTAAAAGGATTGTCAAACGCTTGATGTTTGGATAGACAGGGCACCCCGAATTGCTTCGATCAGATTTGTCGGTGTGCAAATGTAGCCTCGGTGCACATTCAGCTTCCACTTCTCTGAATTTATTCTTTTGTCGTACTTTGTTGAGGATCTTGGTTCAGCTTAATTGCTCCTTCATTTAACGCCCAAAATTGTTTCAATCTAAATGAGATTACTCAATCCTCAACTGTATATTGTCCAATTTAGGCACAAATTCAATTTTGGAGATCCTGTGATAGATCGCTCAGCAGTTGGAACTTGTCGTCTGGCTCCTGAAGAACAAGCCGATTTGTTGGCAGGCATATTCTGGATTGGTGTGTGTCTTCTCGACTCTGATTACGAGTACGAGTATTTTGCGGGCATTCGCCTTCTTTCCCGTCTCCTTCCCTGCGTCTGTTCTCCCTTGAACACCACCTCCACTACTGCCACCGCTGCCCCCACAGCCTCTTCCAGCAATCGGAAGTGGTCTTCTCAACAACAGCAGCAGAGCTTTATAAGTCTCCACGATCACGTCCTGAGACTGCTACATCGCCTCAAGTGGACAACCGGCACCGAGGATGGCGACTATCCAGGTCTTCTCGGTCTCCTCCTCAAGGGATGCTTTTCATCCACCTTAATTGATACGTCCTGCCGTCTTCTGGTCCATCTCATCTCCGCGGTCAAGTCACCAATAGTCGATCCCAATGCTGAAATTCGGCAATATCGTCGAGCTGCGGTGAGCGGTACCTCTCGTTCTACAGGGAGTAGTACTTCTTATCCTGGAATTTTGCCCACCTTGATTATTGTTCTCCTGCCCATGTTATTAACCGCATGGGATGAGGATCCTGATAGTCCAGCTTCTACAGTCCCGGAGCCCGCGATTTCCGTTGGTGAGGTGGGTGAGGCATGTGCAGAAGGTTCTGGAAGTCCTGCAGTGACTTCATCCTTTTCACCACAGTCTTCATCCTCACTACCTCCTCCTCTGGGCTCGTGGGTGCATAGAAGTGTAGTTATCTCGGAAACCGCAGCACCCTCGCCTTCGAGTGGACTGCTTTCGCTTATCACTACCATCCTCGTTTCCGGTGCTGTGGCTAAAAAGGCACCTCAGTTGAGACCGCGGAATCCCATTTGCACTCTGGTGAGCGTGGTTAATACTCACATTGATTCTAGTGACAAAAATAGCTTGGTCAAACTCGAAAACATTGCTTTAATCTTTGTGGGGCAAAATCTCCCTTTTTAAAACGGAACAAGCATTCATTACCTTTAGTTGTCGTAGCGAAGAGAACATTGTCAATTTGTTGATAGTATCAGTTTTGGTAATATCAAAGTGCTGATGATTTCGTAAGGTTTCGCTAAGCCCATGCGGCTGTTTTTTGTCCCGTTTGCATGCAGCTGAAGCCTTCGTTATACCTTTCTTTCGAAATTAATCACTTACAGAAAATATTGAATAAGGTGACCTTCAACTTGTCGACATTTGTTATGGCAATATTGCTGTTTGTTGGCGTAGTCCACTTGTATCTGAAGTGAATATGCAACACATTCGTTTAGAAGTTATTGTAAAAAACTTGGCGCTAATATGTCTATTACAACTTTTAGCAATGTTTGGTCCGCGTGGTGATATGCTTGCATCTACATCGTCCAGGAAATTCATAGAATAGAAGCCAACAGGTGACAGTTACATACCGTTAATTTTCACATCATGGACAATAGGCTTCCTAGACTAGCACTCAGTTTTCCAAACTTTGTCCAGTGAAAGCACTAGCCGCTAATCGATTGGCTTGCGTTGACAAATGGATTTAGTAATTTCTTAGTGCGAAATTCATTTAGCAAGCAAACTATTATTCTTATCCCAAACTACCCACGTCCTCCTACATTTCTGAGCTTTCTTTCTCGAGTGTGTGAGCCACGGACCGTTATTTTTATTGTTGAAAATGCACTGATAATGTGTTGTAGTCGCCTCATTTGAGGTTCCGCCGTTAAACGCACCTGGGTGCAAGTCGGTTAATTTTCGTGCACAAGATACATAGGACTGGTAGTAAATCGCTTGAAATGGAGTTATGGTCATATTCTTATCGTAAAACACAAGACAAACTATCCAATACAATAACCCTTACTCATAAGTTGCTCGGTTCTTCGTAGTGAGAGACGAATTCCGTCCAATCCTACCCATTGTGATTTACATCTTTCTCATCCCCGCCGTCCCCTATGCTAACGCCCTTTCGCTCGTCAAACGGAGCAAGGCAGTGTTGTGCTCTCGTTTAAATTTGTTACTATTTCATTATCCCTAAATCCACTGAACCTTGAAGCTACTTGATGGGTCCGTTGTTAGGAGACCTCAGAGACTTAATACTTCACATCTGCTATCTTTCCAAATGCAGTTTAGATTTGTACGTGGAGATCTTGATGGAAACTTCGCTCTCTTAGAGGAAACTAATGGCTTTAGTAGAATTAAAATAATCATGAATTCAAGCATCCAACTTCCATTTTCAGTTCGGAGGCAGGGCATCTACTTTAGTAGCTTATTGTTATTGCTAGTACTACCTGTGCTGTCGCCTACAGTTGGGCTAAGGTCTTAGTATTTTATGTTTTATTGATAGCTGCATAGGAAATATCACTGCTTCTCATTAATTGATCTGAGAGAAAAGGACCACTGCAACGCGCAATTTTCAACGGCAGTTACGTTAGTTTTAAAAGATTCTGTTGTGGCGGAAATGGTGGTTACTGGAACGTAACGCGTATTATTAGTATGAAAGAACGCATTTATTCTTGAAGCACTTAATTCTTCTTCAGTGAGAATTCAAAGCAAGGAGGACTAAAATGCAACGAATAACCGTCACTGAAAAGTTTTACTTGTGTGATTGGCAGTACTCCTCTTAATCTATTCACTTTTTCTTCTTTCCAGAGGCAAAAGGTTGGATGCTGTTAAACATTTTCTTTAGCAGTTAGCACTAACTGAAGGGGCAATAGTCGTGTTATAACACTAAAACCTGCTTTTTTTCTGTCCCCTTCCCCAAACTTAACAATTAAAGGCGGCGGAGCAACTAGCGGAACTGGCGCTACAAATGGACGCCTATCGATTCAACAACCTTGCCATTGTCCTACGTCTCTACGCCAATGGAACTTTCTCAAAGGATGTGAACCAGTGGGCCAAATGTGTTACCCGCTACCTCATGGATGGATGCGCTGGTCTGGGACCACGAATCCTCACGTTTCTAACTCCAGTAAATCCAACAACTTTGAAGTTAATGGGGAATATTTGAAATTCGCATTATGGAAACATATCTTAACTGTAATATGGATTTGTGCCTTAGTTATAAGTAGCTTGTGTTTTCTACTGTTCGTAGTTGTTGTTGTGATCTGGTCTGTCATTAAATTTTGCTACGATCCGATTTTAAACGAATCTATTCGTTTTAAGGTGCTGAATCACGCATCCTTTTTCAGTCTTTCAATCAACATTGCAATTTTGGCTCCATTCGTTTAATGCACCGAAGTACAACTCATTTGTAAACATTGTTGTAATGGAGACTTGCCATGTCCAAAGTCTAGATTGACCCCTAATTACACTTTCGTCCATCGGTCTAATGTGTCTATCCAAAGTCTGCGTAGGTGAGACCGAACAATTGCCCATTATATAATTTTAAAAGCAGGGATGCTCGAATTTTTTTCACTAAAACTTCATTTATCTGTTTGCTCATGTCACTTATGCTCTTACTTGCATAAACGTATTGTACCTAATGATTGGGACGTGAAATGCATTGCGATAAAAGTTCCGGTCAATCAGAACTGTCATCTTTTGAATGTAACTGATGCTA